GCTGGTCTACGTCCAACAGCTCGGCCTCCTCACTATCCCGAGCTCGAAGCCAAAAGAGGATGGCCAAAGCGAAGATGACACCCCACCCATTGGGGCCCACTTGAGCCGGAGCCAACCCAGTCCAGAAGAGCAATTCTTGGACAAAAGGGTGAAGGGGAAGTCTGATGCCGTACTCAAACATTTTGAAATAGAGAGTGACCCATCCCTCTGGAGGATGGTCAGCTCTCTCCCCCTCCTCCGGAAGCCTGAGGAGGATGTTCTCAGGGATAGCGAACCCCCTACGAAGGGATCCGAGGTAGTGCTCAGGTATCCTAGAAGGGTATTCCAAACCCTGACCTGAAGTGGAGGCATCGCTATCCTCCCCGTCATCGGAGATTCTAAAGTGTTCTATCTCTTCGAGCTCGGACTCTGACCTACGAGCTAGATCGGATCCTAGGTTGCTGCTAATGGAGGACGACATGGCAATTATGTTCGAAAGAGAGAGGGAAGAGACCGACCTACCAAGGGTTCGTGCTGCCTTCAGATCGAACTCCAAGAATTCAAGGAACGTAGGGTATGATCTGAAGAATTGGGGGCATTTATAGCCCGTCGGAGGAATTTCCCCACCGTACACGTGTAATCAACGAGCGGCTAAAATCCTCTCTGAGATCCAAAGCGTCGGAATATTTGGATATTCCGACGATAAATCTTCCGCGACGGTTGTATTTTCCCACGAATAGGAAGTCGCCACGTGTCCGAAGCAAGTCGGATGAACTTCTCTGCCGGGTCGAGATCGGACCAAACAGAGAGGGGGCCGATGTTTGGGGCAGGGTATACCCTGGACACGTGGAGGACCCCCATTGGTGCTCCAAAATGGCTCATGAGTCATCCCAGCTAGGATAGCCGAGACGGCTGCCACCAACATCGAAGAAAGCTAAGCATGAGGGCCGAGGTGAACCCAGCCCAGGTCCAACCTACCGGAGAGCTCGGTAGGGGACGATGTGAGCAACTGTCTGCGGCATAATTATCGGGCGTAACCGTCGGTCCCGAGATCGCCGGGTGTAACCGACGGTCCCGAGATTACCGGGTGTAACCGTCGCGAGATTAGCGGGACTACCACCCATAAGTAGAGGACCTCACTCCACGATCAGGTACGATGATTTCTGGCTTCGAGCTAGACTTGGAATCCGACCTATACTGACTTGATCGTCAGAGTGCTCACCTTTTTGTGCAGGTCCGCCCAAGTGGTCAGGTCGGTCCGGAGGCCGGGTTCGAGCAGCAACCAGAAACACACTGTTGTGCAAATCTTTGCATAAACACAATGTATTCGCAACAAATCCGGCAGAAATTAAGGGGGATTTAGTTGCTCCATTAAATGACTCTTTACGGATTGATATTCCTTCACAATCGGATCTCATAATTTTGATGCCTATTAATGTTTCATCCGTTTATGAGCCACCAATTATGGGCTCAGTTCCAGCCAATTATGGCACACTCAGTAGATGGAAGAAACGGGCCAGGAAGGCCCCACATCAACCTATCCAACACAATTGCTTGATTCCAATTCCATCTGTATCCAGGAGGAAGGCTGCGGACCTCCTCTCTGTGTCTTCGACATCCAAGAAGCAGAAGCAGGTTGTAAATATTGACATTGTTTCCTCACTCTCAATATGGGCGAAGGCTGCTTTGCAGTCTCGCTGGGAGCCATGAAAATCCTTTGTTGGAATGTCCATGGGTTGAGGGATCCTAAGACATTCAAAGTTATTTATGACTTTATTCGTCATGAAAACCCTCAAATTGTTTTTGTAAGTTAACTCAAATTGCAAGTTTGATTCTTTTAGTTTTTAAATTTATCTAGTCCAAGTCCTAGTTTCTAGGAAGTTGTTAGGGTTATTTTTGGTATAGTTAAGTCAACTAGGTAGGTTGCTATTCTTATGGCCAGTGGAGTAATTGCTATTCTTATGGCTAGTGGAATAGTTGCTTTTTATGTGGAATTAATTGAGTCTATTTTTAAACTTAGAGTTTGTATAAATATGTAGTATCATTCAATGAAACTTAGACTTCACCACTTTCTCATTTCTCTCTCAATAATAAGAACTACAGTGGTATCAGAGCCTTAAATTCTTAAGGGATCTATGAGTGAGGATTAGTGAAATATTCCAGAGAGAAACTAAGTGATATACCTGTGAGAGTTTTGTCCAATGGAGTTAGGATCTAACAATCTTTCTTCACTGGCTCCACATGTGTTTGATGGTGAAAACTATCAAGCATGGGCAATCATAATACAAGCCTACAAGGAGGTGTTGGACTTGGTGAAGGAATTCGAGAGAATGCAGATGAAGGATTCTGAGTCCATCAAAGAGTATTCAAACAAGTTGATCGGGATTGCTAACAAGGTAAGAGCATTAGGAACTAATCTATCTGACAATAGATTGGTTCAGAAGATTCTGGTTTCAGTACCTGAGAGATATGAAGCAACCATTGCTTCCTTAGAGAATACTAAAGACCTCTCCAAACTCAAAGTGATAGAAGTTGTTAGTTCTTTGCAAGCACAAAAACAGAGGAGGTTGATGAGGCAAGAAGGAAGCATGGAGGGGGCACTAAAAGCTAGAATGCAGCAGGGAGAAGGTGGAAGAGAGAAGAAGTAGAAAGGGAAGAAGGCGAGTGGCAGTAGTAGCTTAGAATCTGCTGCGAAGGATGTTGGTAGTGCATGCAAGCACTGCGAGAAGCACAACCATCCACACTTCAGATGCTAGAGAAGGCCAGATGTGAAGTGTAGAAGGTGTAATTTATTGAGACACATTGAACGATTTTGTAAAGGTGTCAAGACCCAACAACAAGGAGGAGCACATGTTTCTCATCAGCCAATCAATGTAATGGTTTGTTGGTTGATAGTGGGTGTACCAATCATATGACAAGTGACAAAGAGTTGTTCAAGGACCTTGACAAGTCATTTAAGTCAAGGGTGAAGATAGGAAATGGTGAGTATCTAGAAGTGAAAGGGAAGGGCACAATGTTAATAGAGAGCTGTGCTGGAACCAAGTTGATTAATGAAGTGTTGTTTGTTCCTGAGATTGATCAAAACCCGTTAAGTGTTGGTCAACTAGTAGATAAGGGATTTAAAGTGTTGTTTGAAGACGGGAAGTGCCTCATTTTTAATTCCAGTGGGAATGAGTTGTTCAAAATAAAGATGCAGCACAAGAGCTTTTCATTAGATCCATTTGAGAAAAAGCAAATAGCTTTCAAGTGTCAAGTGAATGACACTGAGTTATGGCACAAGAGGTTGGGGCATTTACATCAGAATGGGTTGCAGTATCTGCAGAAAAATGAGATGACAATAAGAGTACTGGTTTTAGAGGAGTTGAAAAAAAACTGCAGAGCTTGTCTGACAGGGAAGCAAACAAGATTGCCATTCAAGAAGTCAGTTTGGAAAGCAACCGAGAAGCTACAACTCATCCACACTGATTTGTGTGGACCTCAACCAACTCTTGCACTAAATGGTAGCAGGTATTTCATTATCTTTATTGATGATTATACTCGGATGTGTTGGATATATTTCATGAAGCAGAAATCTGAAGCAGCTGGAGTGTTACTAAAGTTTAAAAGATGGGTTGAGAATCAAAGTGGTTGTAAGATTCAAGTGGTGAGGACCGACAATGGGACTGAATATATATCACAAAGGTTTAATTCCTTCTGTTAAGAAGTTGGGATAGACCATCAACTCACTGCTCCATATTCTCCACAACAAAATGGAGTTAGTGAAAGGAAGAACAGGTGTATTATGGAGATGACAAGACGCTCGTTGCATGAGAAGACTTTGTCAAAGGAGTTTTGGGCTGAAGCAGCAAACACAACAGTCTTTCTATTGAATAGACTACCTACAAGGGTCTTGGAGAAGAAGACCCCCTATGAAGCTTGGTTTGACACTAAACCAAAACTGACAAATTTGAATGTGTTCGGTTGCTTGTGTTTTTTCCATATTCCATAGGTGAAGAGAGACAAGTTGAGTGAGAAGGCAGAACCAGGAATCTTTGTAGGCTATAGCATGGTGTCCAAAGCCTACAAGATCTATCAACCTCACACAAAGAAGATGGTGATTAGTAGGGACGTTCAATTTTTGGAGGATGAGGAGTGGGACTGGACAGAAGAAGCAGAGGTGAAGCAACAAGAAGTCTCTCTAGATCCTGATGAACTAGTTGATGATGCACTAGTGAGAGAGACTAGACTATTGACCGAGGTGTATGAAAGAAGCAGTGTAGCTGTGTTGGAGCCTGCAGGGTTTGAAGAAGCTCAAAAAGATCAAAAGTGGATGGAGGCAATGAAGGAGGAGCTGAGAATGATAGAGAAGAACAAGACACGGGAGCTAGTGGAGAAGCCTACTGACAGAAAGGTGATAAGAGTCAAATGGGTTTTCAAGACTAAATTAAATCTAGATGGCTCTGTGAACAAGCTTAAGGCCAGGTTAGTAGTGAAAGGGTATGCACAAGTCTGGGGAGTTGATTTCTCTGAGACTTTTGCACCGGTTGCAAGAATGGACACAATCAGGATGCTACTAGCTGTGTCAGCTCAACATGGATGGAAGGTGTATCAATTAGATGTGAAGTCAGCATTCCTAAATGGAGTGTTAGAAGAAGAGATCTATGTTGAGCAACCAGACGGGTTCATCACACCAGGGTAAGAGCAGAAGGTTTGTTTACTGAAGAAGGCTCTCTGTGGGTTGAAGCAAGCTCCTCGGGCATGGTACAGCAAGATGGATGATCACTTGCTGAGCTTGGGTTTTGTGAAGAGTTTGAGTGAATCCATACTCTATGTGAAGAAATCAGGTACTGCTATTGTGATTGTATCTCTTTATGTAGATGACTTGCTGGTGACAGGAAGTGATAATAATCTGATAGAGGTATTCAAGCAAGAAATGATGAAGGTGTTTGAGATGACCGATCTAGGTCTGATGCATTACTTCCTTGGCATGGAAATTCAGCAAGGATAGAATGAAGTGTTTCTCTGTCAGAAGAAGTACATGAGAGAGATATTGAAGAGGTTCAATATGGAGGAGTGTAAGAGTGTTAACACTCTGATGATTCAGAAGGAGAAGTTGCAGAAGGATGATGGGGAGGAACCTACAGACGGGAATATGTACAGAAGTCTAGTTGGATGTCTCATGTATCTCATATCCACTAGGCCTGACATCATGTACACTGTTAGTGTCTTATCTAGATTTCTTCACTGTGCAAGCAAGAATCATATGATTGCTAGAAAGAGGGTTTTGAGATATCTTAAAGGCACACTGTCTTTTGGGATCAAATACAATAAAGTTGAAAATTTTGAGTTGCAGGGTTACTCAGATAGTGATTGGGCTGGGTCATTAGATGATATGAAGAGTACCTCTGGCTATTGTTTCACTTTTGGCTCAGGGTGTTTCTCATGGTGTTCAAAAAAACAAGATATAGTGGCTCAGTCAACTGCAGAAGCTGAGTTCATTGCAGCAACAGCAGCAGTCAACCAAGCTGTTTGGTTGAAGAAGTTGATGCGTGACTTGCATCTAAAGAAAGAAGAGAGTGTGAAGGTGTTTGTGGATAATCAAGCCACTTTAGCTATTTCATTGAATCCGGTTTTTCATGGAAGGACCAAGCACTTTAAGATCAAGTATTATGTTCTTAAAGAGATGCAGAAGGAAGGAGAAGTTCAGTTGGTGCATTGCAGCTCAGAGGAGCAAATAACAGATATCTTCACTAAGTCCTTTAGTGTGGGTCGTTTTCAAGCTCTTAGGAGCAAGTTGGGTATTTGTAGTATTTGAGTTAGGAGGAGAATGTAAGTTAACTCAAATTGCAAGTTTGATTCTTTTAGTTTTTGAATTTGTCTAGTTCAAGTCCTAGTTTCTAGGAAGTTGTTAGGGTTATTTTTGGTATAGTCAAGTCAACTAGGTAGGTTGCTATTCTTATGGCTAGTGGAGTAGTTGCTTTTTATGTGGAATTAGTTGAGTCTATTTTAGACTTAGAATTTGTATAAATATGTAGTATCATTGAATGAAACTTACACTTCTCCACTTTCTCATTTCTCTCAATAATAAGAACTATAGTTTTTCTTATTAAAACGAAATGTAATAGTTGGCAAACTAATAAATTGAAGCTTGCATTTAACTTTTCTAGCTGCTTTACTATTAAAAGTACAGGTCTTAGTGGGGGTCTTTGTCTCCTTCACTCTGTGGATGTTACTATTCGATCATATTGACTCAATTATCCATTGATCCTCCTTTGCTTGGCGTTTCACAGACTTTTATGGTCCTCTGACTACACATAAAAGAGTCCAAAATTTGGAACTTTTGAAGCGCATTTATAATATGGATGACTCAACGTGGCTTGTAGGTGGTGATCTAAATGCAATTCCATGGCATCATGAGAAATCTTGCCTATGACACAATGATGATCACTTAATATCCAACTTTCATTGAGCATTGGATTTCTATTATCTTTTTGATATGGGCTTTGTAGGAGACCAGTTCACTTGGTGCAATAATCGTTATGCACATGCTCAACAATGAAAATCGAATTATGTTGCGTAGTTATCTCTCAATTCTCTCTTCGTTCCTACACAACCGGATTCTTGTTGGAGTAATAGTAAGGAAGACCTAAAGGTGATGTCGATTGGATTTACTCATGAAGAAGGGTCTTCAAAGGTAAAACCCATTCCTCTTTTTTGTTTATTTTTATTTTTTATTTTTTGTGTTATGTGTTTTCAAATTTCAAATGAAATTCAAGAAGACGTTCTACAGCTTCCATTCGGGATTCACATCCTATCATTTAATAGTCGGGAGAAGTTAATGTTTATAAAAACAGTAAACATTTTACCAATTACTTTTGATATTAGTGGGAAATATGATTCTTTGCCGACTCTTTTGTTATATGATCAAGAAAGGTTTTTTATTTTTTTTAAATAATAACTAAAACTCTTTTCTCCCAACTTTCTAAAATAGAGTTGGGATACGAGAGTTTAAAATCCTTTTTGATTACACTATTAAAAACTTTACCAACCACTTCTAGTATTAGTTGGCAAAATTGTTCTTTGCCGACTCTTTTGTTATATAGTCGGGAAATGTTTTTTAATTCTATTTTAAATAAATAACTAAACTAAAGCCGTTGTTTAAATTTTTTTTTAATAATAACTAAAATTCTTTTCTCCCAATTTTTTTTAAATAGTGTTATTTGGTGGGATTTTAAATTCCCTTTTCGATTACATTTCTCAACCCTCGTCCCTCGATGTTCTCTCCTTCGCTCTCTCGCCCGTGCCATCACTCATCGTCGCACGCTCGCTCGCCACCGTCACTTAGCCCCACCGCTTCTGCCCGTTGCCAGGCGCACCGCCCCTCCAATCCCCCATTCCGCCTTCCTTTCTATCCCAACAAAATCGAACCTCCAAACCCTGCCTCCTCCATTCTAATAATTTTCACGTACTTTTCTTACTCAATAGTTTTTATTTTTTCGAAATGTATTGAATTTATATGGTTTAATAGGTTGTTTATTAGGGTTTCTCCTATTGTTAAACAAGCTGATTTCATAATAGTCTAGAAAAACATAGAAAGATGAATCATATTTTTTTCTTGAGTGATTTAATTACCTATCAATTAAGTCAGCACGAAAAGCTTCTAAGTGGA